GCCAGCAGCCGCAGAGCGGCTGTCCAGAAGCCGGCGACTGATCTGCCTCGCCCGGGAAGAGCGTAAAGATGGTGCCAACTTGGGCCAGTGAAGCAACGTCCTCCACAACTAGACTGAAGAACAAAACGACAGCAACTTGCCTGTTCCCCTTCCCCAATTCCCCATCGCTGTTCCCATCCCCCCAATTCCCCAATAAAAATCTTTAAAAAAAAAAAAAAGAAAGAGGAAACTTAGCTGCTGCCTAATTTTGTATGAGATCATTTGCTGACATCTCATTCCGTGCAGGGTGGAGTGGAGCATTGACATTTTTGAATTGTGAAATCATAACAAAGAGTGACAAACTTTTTTCATGTTTGCAATCTTTCCTTTTTAGGGGGAGTAAAACTTGGATTAGGAGATTTCATTTTCTACAGTGTTCTGGTCGGTAAGGCTTCCGCAACAGCCAGTGGAGACTGGAACACAACCATAGCCTGTTTTGTAGCCATATTAATTGTAAGTATGCACTGATAGAAACATGTCAGAGCTCCTCACCTCAAAACTGATCATGCTGTCCCTTTAAGGCATTCCCATTTTAACCCCACTTGGGCTGATAGTCCCAGTCGCCTGGGGAGCTTTTTAAAAACAAATTATTGGACCTCACCTGAGTAGTTCTCCACCTGGCCACACATTAAAATCACCTGGAATCTTTTAAAACTGCATTCCCACCCTGAGATATTTAATTGGTTTCAATTCTGTACCTTATTTTTAAAGTTCCCCAGGAAATCCTGGAAAGTACTTCTGATTAGGAACCACTGCTTTAAGCAGCACAGATACGTAGGAAATTAACTGTGTCTTAAAGGGGTCAGTAGACGCTCACTTAGTCCCTGAGTTTGGTGGTGGTTTTGCAGTTAATTCCACAGCCTACTGCATACAGGCACAGCAAGTGGGAGGTGACGCAAGTTAACACAATGTGTGATCTCACTCAGATCTCGAGGTGCCATGAGCCCTGAAGCTTTCAAAACTGATTTACGTAAATCACTCAGACGATATTTCTTACTGTTTTTTTTTTTTTTACTAAAGATGTGATATCTTTGATATATGTGAGTGGAGTTAGATGAGAGCCTTTACATTGCATTTATTTTGTGATTACGTTTGTGGTTTATCATGATAATATGACCAGTTACAATATTCATGTATTGTATTTCTCTTTGGAGGTTAGCTTTCTGGATGTGTTATATCCTTTTAAGAAGAAAATTGCTTACACTGGGTAAACCTGAAATGATGCTCAGCCTCCAGAATTTATAGTTGGTGTTTCAGTAACTAGAGTAAAAAATGGACTATGTTATATGGCTGCCCTGTGTTTCCAAGAAAGCAGCAATGTTCTTTCATAAATACACTTTTATCGGTGTGTTCTGTAAGCATCTTTGCCTCCACACAGCATAAGGAGTGCTTTTCACCTCTGGGATTTTAGCCAGCCCAACAAAACTCACAGTAGCCAACTCAGTATTTTCGATAGAAGTCTCTGTATTATTAAATGTTTTTCAAAAATAGTTTTACTTATTTTCAGTTTCTATTCCTTACCTAGAATTAGGGGATGAAGAATCAAGAGTGTGTGCGTAATGAGCCCTATGTTGCAAAGGAAAATAAAAGTTGTTTCCAGGTTTCATGGAAACATTTGTTCTAAAATTTAACCTCAAAGGATAGTACTCAGTTCACTAAATTAAAACCAAGATCTGTGGTTGAGTTGTTTTACATGAAATACTTTCATAGTCATGTCTGAGGTTTTGTCTTTCCCCTTTTCCCCACAGGGTTTGTGCCTTACGTTATTACTCCTCGCCATTTTCAAGAAAGCATTGCCAGCTCTTCCGATCTCTATCACCTTTGGGCTTGTCTTCTACTTTGCCACAGATTATCTTGTGCAGCCCTTTATGGACCAGTTAGCATTCCATCAATTTTATATCTAGCATATTTGCAATTAGAATCCCATGGATTTTTCTCCTTTGACTATAGTAAAATCTGGGAAGGACAAAGGTGTTTCCCTGTGTCCACTTCTAACAAAGTCAAGATTCCTGACTGGACTTTTTGCAGCTTCCTTCCAAGTCTTCCTGACCACCTGCACTGTTGGGCACAGGAAGGAGGTGTCTACAGAAAATGGTTTTAAACATATATCATCGTGGTGGACTGAATCCCTCAGTGCAAAACAGCCAGATTTGAGGGACAAGGACAAGGACAAGTGATGGGCCAAGAAGTTGCTGTGCTCCCACCAACATTTTGACCCTTGGTCACAGGCGGATTGTACCAACACTGCAGACTCTCAGGACTACCATTACCAAGAGGTTAAATGAAGTGATGGAAACCAAACAGGACTCATCATCTTAAGCAACATGTTGAAAATCAACCTAATAAATCTGTATTGAATTCTAACCCTTTTCAGGAGGTACTGTAAGAACAGGCACCAGCAGCAAAATGGAATTGTGGAAAGGGGCTCAAACTTTCACTTTCAGACTTTTTTGCTGCAGACTTAATCATTTTTAAGTAAGATGTTTTTTTCGCCTTGAGTCAAGTCTGATGTATAAGTTGATTTTGACACTTTTTGTTCTCAAGCACTGAAACTTATCATCATCGATGGTTGCCATTTCTTCCCAAGGCCAGTCTGAATTTATCTGAGGTTGCTTTATCTTAAAAGTCTTAACCTTAGTTTCCAAATTCAGTAATTTCTGGAAATAGTGGAACTCTAGCTCAACGATTCCCTATCACCATTAGGTAAATTCTGGATTTACCATCAAATTCCTAACTTTTAGACGTTCTTGTAGGTTCACTTGTCCCCGATGCCTCTGTGTTCTCCGTCTCTCCCTTCACTCCCCTCAAGCCTTCCTTTTACACAGCAAATAAGACAGCTCGGTTGTGATAGCAGATGATAACGGTTCTTCTAGGATTTTACCTTGTGTGGTGCAAAGAATGTGTGATGAATCAGTGCTATCAGCCTCACTGTCGTCATTTCTTCAATAGCAAATACTGTGTGCGCCCAAAGACAGTAGCATTAAAGAAGAGTAAAATGGCTGGTGAAGCACTTTCTGTCCTGGTTTTTCTTTTTTTACTACAACCTATTCGGCAGTAGGTCAGAATTCCAACCAATAGCCAAAAGCTGGTGGTTTATAAAGTTTATGGATCAGTGGTACGAGCACAAAGCAAGAGTTTGGAGAAAGCCATGATGTCCCTTGGTGAGCTGTGGAAGAACCTCGGATCGGGGAGAACCAGCTACCAAGAGAAGAAAGAGGGATCCCCAGCAGTCTTGGGACAAAATGAGCTAATGTCCCATGGGCACATGTTAAGGCGGAGATCCAAGTTGTTGCTCAAGAACCTCTCAGTGGGTGTTTGGTGGTTTCCCTTCTGCATTACCTTTTCTTTCAGTGTACCTCTGTGTGAACTGGGCAGTGGCATTCAGGCTCTATGCAGCTCAGCTGGACAATGCACATAAACAGAGCCAGCAGCCCACGGGCACACCCCTCTAAAGGAAGCTGTGCCAGGGCACAACCCGTCTTTGCCCCACACAGCCTTCCGCCGTGGTGATCTGACTGGAAGGACTGGTGAGGAACTTAGCTCCCGCTGTGGCTGAACAAAGACTAGCGTTTCTCCTCCTCCCGCCTTCTCTCAGCCTGCTCTGCCATCTGGTTTGGGGTTCTCCGTAGAGTTTAGGATACCTGTTCTCTGTTATGGACTATTTCTTAGAAACTAAGTGTAGGAGCGTTGTGCTGGTGCTAACCTGAGTGTAAGTAAAAACTGGCTCCTGTTAGGCAGTTGAGAACGGTAGGAAAAGTAAGCTGTGCAAAGAAAGAGCAGTAGTAGTAGTTTCTCTCGTCTCTTTTTTGTTGTTTAGCCCCTTTTTTCCAAGCTTCCCCCTTTTTCTCCTCAACATGTGGCAGTGTAAGTATTATCTTCTAGAAAGACATGTGATTCAACAGCTACAACAAAGCCACCTGAACACCAATTTATGATTTGAAGCAGTCTCGAGGGAGCCCTATCTAGAGTACTTAGTGTTAGGGTCCCAAATGTGCTGTAGCTTTCATGAAAGGCTCATGAAGAGGATATGTGGTGTGTGTGTGTGTGTGTGTGTGTGTGTGTGTGTGTGTGTGTGTGTGTGTGTGTTTAAATCCACCCTACGTGTTATTGTCCCACGTAGAAAGACTGCAATAAATCTGTCACTTTCTACAAGATGGAACCACATCTCAGCATAGACAGAGAACACATCTTATTTCTTTAAATCACCAATCTCAGATGCAGAACTTTTTCTTCAAATCTTCTTAGAATCCATACAGTTGTCTCTGAAGTATCAAAATGCTAGCGTTCCACCATGAAAAATCACTGTCACCAGAGAAAATAGTAGCAGTTCCACTGAGGAGGTCCACTGTTGATTTCCCACAGGCCAGGGGGTGGCCCAGGCAACACAAACGGTAAAGAAACCACAAGCAGCCAAGCCAATCTGCTCAATTAGAACGAGGAAAAAAACTAGGAAAAACCGACCGCTGACGTCTGGGTCTGACTGGCCTACAGAGTAAAGAGCATTTATATACAGAATGTGGCTGCAAACTAGCCTGTGGAAGTACCAGCCATATTTGGAAGATTTGTAGTGTTTTCAAAGAAGAAAGGCTCACTTGCCTGTTTTTGATTCTCACTAGGTTAGTGTGTAGTCTTAGGATCAATTACAGCTCTCACTGACTAAATTTCTTGATCAGAAAAAAATAGCCTTTTAAGTAAGTTGAAATATTCATAAGTGAGCAAATTATTGATTTCACTATAGAAGCAACAACTAAAGAGGTGGTGTTTTTACTTTTAAATTCCTAGATCCCCATTTTTAAAAAATCCCTTGGTTATGAAAACCCTTCTTCCATAATGGATGCTTGAACAAATAATATGTTTAGTACTTGTTCTCAAAATACCTTATATATATATAGTCTTGATTATAATTCTTAGAGTGTGAGACAGAAGTTAAGCTGCCACATAAGACCCTCCAGGGTCAGGTGTCTCAAGGAAGCTCCTGATCCTGACCTCCAGTGCCCAGCCGTGCACGTTTCCCCATTGACGAGCCAGTCCTGGAAGAAGTTCAGAAACCACTATGAAAAGATTTGTTCAATGTCTTCCATGGTGTGGAGCCTAAAGATGTAAGGATGCATAAGATCTGTCCTCAGAATGCAGCTGTTGTCTTGTTTTCTGCATATGCCATCTTTAACGTCTCTAAAATATTGGGTACTTATCAATTACGCCTTTCAGTTACTGTTATTAAAATTGATGTTATCATACTGACTTGATTTTTCCAGAAACCCATTCTTTCAGTCAAGTACTCCTTTTTCTCTAAATTTGCTTTTGAGTAGTTTATACAGAACAGTCGACCTGCCATTCTCACCTCCAAGGGTATCCTGTATGCCGAGTTTGGGAAGAGACTTGAAAAATGGACATTTGGTTTTGCCCCGGGGTAAAACAATATCACTATTGTAAGTTGGAGCCCAGAAGTGATCTTTGTGATCGTCTCACCTTTTTTTTTTTTAAGCTGAGCCATCCTGCCACCTGTTCAGGCAGCTCAGCAGCAGCTCAGCTCGGGCTGGGAATCGAACTACTGTTGCTCAGAGCTTGAACTCTTGAGCGAGCTCTTAACCAACTGAGCCACTCGGCTGACCCTCTTCTCACCTCTTTTTGAATTTCCCAAACACAGGAGATTAAAAACAATGGTTTCAGCTCTTCACAACCCTCATTGAAATTGCCGAGCAGAGTTTACCGACAAGGTTGTCCTCATGCCCATGTCCCAGATCATCTGAACAGCATAATCTAAACAGTCCTCCCCTCTGGTAGCGTACATCTCAGATGTGTGTTTATTAGAAGTGAGCCGAGAGCTGAAATGAACTCTTCTCAAATGTGAAGGCCATTTCCCAGGGCCTCAGGCAGCTGCAGCGTTGCCTTGAGGAAGAAGTTGGGTCTGCCCTGGGCCCAGGAATGTTAGCACTTCAGTCTGGTCTGTGGAGCAGGAAAGATTGCCCAGAAAACAATTTTCCTTTTAAAATGAGTAATTGCTGCAACAGGGCAGTTTCAAACTCAACTGGAATAGCGAGTATAGAATTGTCTTGTTTCCTCTGCATTTGGCGGGGCTGGGATGTGGGTTCCACAGGATCGTTTACTCACGTGTTTATTGTCTGGCTTTTGCTTCTGCAGACGCTGCTTTGTACATGATTCAGACAGACTGTGAATATATCTTTTTTTAAATACCTTTCAAATTCTTGGGAAGATGTTATTTTGACAGATGACTGCAGATTTTCCTGTATTCGTCAAATGAATAAAGCGCGCATGAACCCAGCTGTGCTAGTTTTCTTACATGAAAGTAGTATAATGTGTAACTGAGAGAAGTGTTCAGCAACGATCAGGAAACAGTTTAGGAACACAAATGCATTGTTTTCTATCCTTCACACAGAATAAAGTGGTGTGGATAATAGCAGGCCACACCTCTGAAGGGTGTAACATTAAACCTATTTATGAGACATCTCAGAACAACTATTAATAGTTTTTGAAAAAAAAATTTCTAGAAAATACTTAAAGTAATGTATAAACTGTCAAAACAACTTACAGGACATTTTGTTGTAGTACAATGCAGATATTTCATGTGCTAGATCTTCTAAAAATTATCACATAGGTCACATCAACGGAAAAAAAGCAACATTACTTTAATTGACCTGGTAAAGCGTAGATTGTCCTGTCACTCTGTCCCCAAACTCGACACGACCTTTTGTTTCTTAACAGTGAGTAGCATGCACAATGTTGGGAATTACTGATCAGAAATAGTTGTGGCAGAAAAACCACAGTAACCGCTGTCTTCCGAAGGAGCATGTAAGAGATGGATGCGTTCCTGGCTCCATTGGCTAAAGACATCACGAAGCAGGGGAGGTGGCTGTTCTCTCCTTTGGGAATCACAGGCATCATTTGCTTTTATGAATCTTGTAGGCAGTGTCACTAGAGTCTGCCACAGAGGCATCATGATTTGTCCTCATCGCCTGGGAGAGGTTTCTGAGAGAATGGTGCCCTTGATGAGAGAGAATTTCCTGGGGCAGGGTTAAGATGCAAGAGAAATGGGGCCAGATTTTCTGCATCGCTAGGTAAGTGCCAGTTTTCTGTAGCCCAGCCATTCTCTCTGGGGCCTCTTCTGTGTGCTGTGTATGTGAGGAGAGAGAAAGAAAGAGACCCTCCCCACCAGTAACTTAGGATCTGGTTAAAAGCGAAATGACATTGTACTTGGGTATAAGCAAGTTCAATGTTGACTCACTACATTGAATTTGAATGGGAATGTGGAGTAAAGGAGCGATCCAAAAAAAGACAGGGTTTAAGATCAGAGTTTTCTCCGGAAACATAAAATTTGAGCCAAATTTGGGAAGAAGGGAATCATCTGAATTGGCAAGAAGGCAAAGAACATTCACTTAAAAACGGGGAAGAAAGAAGTATTTGGGAGACACACAAACAATTGGCTTTTGAGTTAAGGTGATGATGTATCCAGAGAAAAACCCAATTAGCAAACCAGATCTGTTTCCATATTTACTTAGAATATACCTCCTTCATTACATGACATAGAAACCATGGCGGATGATGATCTGACCTATCACAGGGACCTTTTAACACAAGAACCTCTTCTATTTGACAAAGATTGATTCTCTTACACTGGCCGGCACGTCTATGTCTGGTTTGCCCTGCCTTCTGAGGGAGAGATGGGAGAGCCGCAGAAACCAGGTTTGTTGGAGACCTAATTCTTGGGAGAAGAGGTGACATACTCCCAATGCCTCTGTCTTCCCCCCACCCCCAAGATTGCTTTAATTATACAGTCACCCAGGGTCAAGTCCTCATGCAGAAGAGGAAAGGATTTTGTTACCATTTTACCCACAGCATACCAGTGAGGTGGACTGCAGGTAAAATTTTGAATGTGATTAGTTTCCTTGGGTGGCAGACCTAGTCAGGAGCCACTAAACTCTAAGGGATACATACAAAGATGATTTTAAAGGGGTGATTCCGGGGCGCTAGATAAACATATTGGGTTGTCGGGAAAGTCATGACGCATTTTTGCAACGGAAAACAGAGAAAAAATACATCGTGACTTTTCTGACAACCCAATATTTACATTTAAATACCTGAATCTAAGTGAATTCTTTAAGGGCCGGTGCATCCCCTCACACACACAGCGGCGCACACACAGTTGTCTCTCAAATACCTGCCAAGGTATTTGAGATTTTTGGGACTTCATCCTGCACCTAGATTTTTGTCCACCAAGAACTGTAACTCCGGTGATAATTTGTCTTTCTGTTTACTAATCAGATTTTCCTACATATACTATAAAATTGTATGAAACTTAATTCTTTAGTGAGATGACTGGGTTTTAACTTGCATGAGCCAGATAGATGTGAATGTATGATGTCTTCAGATTTTCTGAAATGTTGACAATCACCTCTGTGCCATCCTGCCAGTGTCATCGTAGAGATCTGACTGGGAAGCCTTGTTTGGAAGACTTCTAACCAGCTTCCTCGCTCTTTTCCTTCCCAGTTTAGGGGTCTGCTCTGGAATAACCCAGGCAGAAGGTCATCCAGTTTGAAAACGTCATTGGACTGGATGATTGTCACATCCCAGTGGGAGGGGAAGGGCTTTTCTGTCCTGGGTAACCTGCACGGGCCTAGGGGACACAGTTGGAGGACACTATGAGGTGTCTACCTTCATTGTGATTTCTGCCGAGTCTGTGCTCTTGGGGTAGGGCTGGGAGAGCTGAGCCAGACTGCATTTTGTTAATATGGCTGCTCTGGCTCTCAGCTTACCGCAGTGGGCGTGCAGAAGTGAGTTCCATGGGTGTTTTTTGTTCAGGGCCTTCAGCCTTCGTTAGATCCCCACAGTGAAGCCAGCCTGCCTGGGGGTAATGTGCTATTGACGGCATAGCCTGTTTGACTCTGGTAAATGAGGACACTGCCATGGACACCAGGGCGCCCATGTTGTGTCATCGGCCCATGACCCAGAGCTGCCTGCTCTGGGGAGAGACGGACCAGGGTCCGCTGCCCCTTCCACATGTAGCAAACCATCCTTTGGGAGAGACTTTTTCCAACAGGCAAGGAATTCCCCCTTTCTCCTCTTGTGCTCTAGATAAATTCACTTGTTTCAAGTGATTACACAACTTTTGTCATTAAAGATATGATTCACCAAGGCACTCCAAGCATTTGATAATTGTTGCATGAACTGATTTTTGTTTTCAAGTCAAATGCACTCGTAAACATTTTTGTGAGGGGAGGCGGGTGACCTGATCCAGAGTCTCAGTCCTGTCCCAGTAGAAGCTCACTGGGGACCTGGCCTGGGGACGGCCGCCAGCCACTGTGCCCAGCCAGGCTGATGTGTAGCTGGCAGGCAATGCCCTGGGCTCGCCCCGCCCTCCCCCGCTGGCCCCTGGCTGCCCGCCTTTCAGTGGCAGCACTCCAACCTTCCAGCAGGCGGGGCGGGTGGGGAGGAGGGTGAGGCCTGGCACCCCCTCAGTGGGCCCCTACCCGTGGGCTGGAGACAAGTCTGGCCCCATCTCCCCACCGGGAGCTCAGCCAACCCAGCTGTTTCCTGCAGCCCCTCCCCGACTCATCCCCTTTGCCCCCTCCCAGCACAGGTTTCTCACCGCCTGGCCCTCTTCCGCCCACACTGTTGCCCCAGGATTCTGTCTCTAGCTGGGGAGAGCCCCCCAGGCCCTGTTCCTTCCCTTTATTTCCTTGAGGTTTGACATTCCTTTGGCTCTTCCCCCTCCGCAGACACTCCTTGTCCTTCTCAGAGCAAGCCAGCCTTTGTCTGCAGGCTGGCTCCCTGCACAGGGAAGCTGGCAGGGGAAATGTCTTCTTCACCCTGATGCTTGTGAGCCAGATGAGGGAAGCCAACGTGGACACATTCACAGACCGTGGGGGTGCACCTCCCTCAGGTGGGTGCCCTGCTCCCTAAGGTGTAGGCCCAGCTGCCCGCGCGGTACAAGGGAGCTGGGTCCAAGTATTCACCATCCCATCCCGGGGCTCCTGGGAGTAGCACAATCAGTGTTTGGTGAATAAATGAAGTAACCATGGATTAGGGGTCCACAGGAGGGGACTTCCGTGCAGGATGATGTAAACAGGGCACGTGTGTGGGAACATGTTTTAAGTAAGAACAAACATTAACCAGTTTTGCCCTTGTTTACAAGCCTGTGCTGGAGACTGGGGGGCCTGAAGTCAGTTGGCCTTATCTGCTGAAGAGACCAGTGTTTATACACAGATGGTCAGGGTTGAATCCAAACAGGATTCCTCCCCAGGACACATTTGTGACATCTTGAGAAATGTCTGGGTTTGTCCTGGTTCAATGTCACCGCGCTAAATGTGGGAAGACTAAAGGATAGTGCAGTTCTTAATACTTGTGTTTATCCTTCATGTAACCAAGAAAAACTCCAGAGGAACATACTTGCCCCATAAAACCATCGTCCATCGAGCATTTACTATGAATATGCCCTGGACGCTATGCTAAGCCCA